TTCTTCCAGCTCCAGGATCTTCTCGTCAGTCATCAGGGTGCGTGCGTTATATTTTGCTAGTTCGAGTCGTCGTAGGTGGCAACCGAACCTCCACCGGAGATTCTTAGCACCCCTTGCCCCGCCGTTACCATAGTCGCCACCGTAGCCAGGAATAGCGGGGCCGCCGGGGACTGGGGGCCGTCTATTTGTGTAATTGTTAATGGGGGTATATTGTCATAGTTGCCACGCTTGGCGAGTGGGTTGGTAACGCAGTTTTTTTTTGTCGTACAGTTGCTGCTATCAGGAAGATGCTGCTGCCCATCTCCTGCCTGTCTCCCTCTGTCGCCTTTTACGACACCCACGGGAAGATATGGGGTAGTGGATATTCTTAACCGCTACTACACGGCTACTATTTTATTTAGTACATTAATATTTTAAAAATTACAAAAAACAATACATAATAATACTCACATACGTGATTTAGTTTACTTCATCGAAGAATACAAATAATTTTTTTACGTGGTAGAGCCACGCTGCAGCTATATTAGTTGTAGCGCGAATGGGTCAGCTCGATCGAGGCAGGACCACGCTCCCATAGAATCCCAGCGTAAAATAGCAGCTTAACTTCGTATGGAGAGTGTAGAGAACGGGAGAACCTTTTTACTGGAATCGAGGCATTCCATCTTAGTCCTCAGGGGTGATACGAGTAATGCATTTTCATTTTGATTCTTAATTGAGGAGAAATGTAGATGTCCGTGGGCCACAGCATCCACTTACATCAAGTGGACTGTGCCTCTTTATCTCCCAACGCTATAAAAAAATTATCAGTCGTGTCCGACACTCGCAACCCACCCTTACGCAAGGTCCAGCATCAGATATATCGATTCGACTCTATGCGAACTATGGACGGATGTGCGGTCAACTCGAAAATTGAGACCATAAATAATACACTATATACCAGAGAATTGCGACGGCACTGAATATTTGAATATTTTACGCGGTTGTTTTCTGATCTCAAAATGTATTGGCGATGGTGAACGATTTTTGTTAAAAAATGAATGATGCTTTGATTAGGGGGCGTCCTTAAATTACGTGAGATGTTTAAGGGGGGGGGGAGGAGGTCGAGTCAAATCCCATCTAATCTTACGTTGGAACGAGGGGGGGTATCGGCAAATATCACGCAATTTTTTTTGTGAATGTAACAAAAAAAAAATTATACTATTTTGGTCCATTTAATCCAGATTGTACATGCTTAAGATTTAATCTTAAGCGTATATCGTAATACGATTAAGATCATTCGCTAATTCGTTCGAAAGAAAATAATTTCATTCTTACTTCGACGTTATACATCTACTGACTGTCAAACTACAATATTTGTTTTATACCAAATAGCTCAATTTAATCTGAATTTACACTACAGTTAGTATAGTTGCCGACACGAAAGGTGAGCACAGATGAACTATGGTGGGGGTTGAGCCAGCGTAGGTACACTGTCGGCCAAAATTATTTGGTACCTTTGTAATTTCAATTCATAATTGAATATTTTCGCTGACTTTTTTTTCGAAATTCTGAGTCCTTAACTCCTTTAACTATACGACTTACAGTAGCTACGTAGACATTAGTTGCCTTAGCAGTCTGTTTATAAACGTCTATCATGTTTTTCTCAATACCTAATTATTTCATGTAACAAAACACTGAATAGACAATTTGTCGGGATTGCCTATTTAACATCGAATTCTTTCTTCACTGCATATTTAGCCCAAAAACGAATGCTCAAATTATAAAAAAAAATTAACAACAAAAATATCAAAAACAGTTAAAAACAAGAAATACACAAACAACAATTAACAACGAGGTAACACTACAATTATAACAAAAATAAACTAATTAAAAAGTTGTCAATAAAATTGCTCTGAAGTGTACGGTAGTCGAATGATACGTGCGAACCCAATAGACGACGAGAATCGGCTGACGAACCAATCACGTTGAACGTCAGCGTGGTCAACGTCATATCGACCAATAAAAAGTGTGCTCACGACTCGTTGCGGCTATTATACTACATATTATTTATTCTGTGCTACAGTGTAGCCCGTTCTTTTGTTTTCGCGCCACCGTCAGCCGAACGCGCGACTCGATGAACGAGAGCGTACGAGCTGAGTGGCAGCGACACACGGACAAGTTCCAACCTGCTTTGTTTATTCTTGTAAATGTTTTACTTGACTCAGTTCATGCTCTTACTAATTTAAAATGAGTTATCAAGATTTTTATAACGCATACGTCAAAAGATACGTCTATAAGACGAAGAAGTCCTGCCAGGACGATGTGATAAAATTAAGGAATACAGTGAAGCAAAAATTCCCGAAGAAGAGTTAATACATCACATTCAACATGAGATTGAACGGCTTCTCAGGGAAACCACTGAGAGAAAAGTTCGGTCTACTTTAGCATTTCTTCAAAAGGTAGGTTAAATATATTTTTTAATAAAATACTTTTTTATATAAACTTTATTGTTGCAATTATAACCCGCCGTTGGTGACGTGTATGTCTGTGAGAGCAGGTGATACGAAAAGTGTAATAACTTTTTATTACGTGATCGATTTGCACTGAGATTTCGAGTGGCTGCCTTATTACACATCCCTTACTCGCCAATTAACGCCGTGATCTCGTCACGGGTGCGCATCCTGGAGTTTTAGTTACAACCCGGTCTGTGAGACCGGCGTCACTGATCACGTAAGTGAAATACTAAATTTTATACATACAAAAGCATTCATATTATTGATTATAACTGCCTAGTTTTTATAAAAAATACTAATAATATTTAACTGTGTTATTATCTTGTTGATAGTAAATGAGTTATTTGCATAAAGTCAATTACTTTCAAAAAAAAATATACATAGAACTTGACTAGGATGTTGACGCAAAGACTTGCCGAGATTTTGAAGATCAATGATGAACTTGGGACTGTTGGTCCTGTCCGTAATGGTCGACGCTTTGACTTTAATATGATGCTTTGATTTCAGTCTAACACTAAGATCTCTAACAGTTCTTCGATTCAGGCTGGGACAAGCACTGAGAGTGTTCCGAACATGGAATGTGCAGGTCAGGTTCAGATCAACGATCATAATATTCAACACGCGGAATCTACGGTTCAGGATGAGATTAATGACCAGCAGTCAGGAGATACAACATATAGAGATTTAACAGTATTAGAGCCACGCGGCAGCTTTGCTGTTGCACGTATGGGCCGGCTCAAGCCGGGGTGGTACCACGACCTCACAGAATACCGGCGTGAAGTGGAAGCTCTGCTTTCGCGTTTCGTCTGGTGAGTGCAGGTGGCCGGAGGCCCAAATCCCCCCCCCCATCAACATGGTAACGGAATTAAATGATGATAGACTACCTCAGGAGGGTACCAGCACCCCCGGAGAATCCCTTGCTGAGCATCCACGACCATGGTTCTCCACTTCTGAGCGTGGGTTCTCAGGCTGCCCCGCGTATTTTGGGGGGGGAGGGGGGGGGGAAATTCAGCTCAAGACTACAACTGGTTGGGGCAAACGGAGCAACAAGACCAAGGCGACCCCTGCCACGCTGTCCGTGAATTTCTGCAATATCAGGGGACTTAACTCTAACCTAAACGCCGTCCACTACCATCTCGAGACGGCGAGGCCGGCTCTGCTCTTTCTGACCGAGACGCAGGTGTCCTCTCCGGCTGATGTCTCGTATCTCTCCTACCCGGGGTACAAACTGGAACACTCCTTTGTGCCTCGGGCTGGAGTCTGCGTTTACGTCAAAGAGGACATCTGTTCTCGACGCCTCGGCAGACTTGAAGGTTCGGACCTCTCCATCCTTTAGCTACTCGTAGACAGCGACAACCATCCGCGCGTCTACGGGTGCCTCTATAGGTCCCATAGCGGTAATGCCGAATCAGACCGACTCTTCGACCACGTCCAAATGGCTACAGATTCGTTGCTACAGCAGATCCCCTCCGCAGAGATCGTGATCCTCGGCGACTTTAACGCCCATCACGCCGAATGGCTTGGTTCACGTTTAACCGAGCGGGGAGATCTGTTCATGATTTTGCCTTGGCATATGGTCTGACACAACTGGTTACATTGCCTACGTGGATTCAAGATGTGGAGGATCATGCACCTTCCCTGTTGGACCTTCTGCTGACCTCTCACCCGGACGGATATCAGATTTGTGTCGATGCCCCTTTAGGCTCCTCGGACCATTGTCTTGTTCGGAGTGTGGTGCCACTCACGCTGAAATCGCAGTTGCATTCTGCAGGCTGCCACCGTGTTTGGCACTATCGGTCGGCCGATTGGGATGGGATGCGGTCTTTCTTTGCATCCTACCCTTGGGGGCGGGTTTGCTTCTCGCCGGATGATCCCAACGTTGTTGCGGATTCTGTCGCTGATGTGGTACTTCAGGGTATGGAACTTTTTATTCCTTCCTCTGTGGTGCCCATTGGAGGCAAATCTCAGCCATGGTTTGGTCGCTCCTGTAAAATATCATAACGCTATAAGCAGGAGTGCTACCAAGCCTGGGCTGACGCATCAGCGTCCCTGGATGTAAACACCAGCGCTCTAAAGAAGAAGTATAATTCCGCCTCTAGGTCCTTCAAAAGAGTCATTGCCAAGGCAAAGTCAGAGCACATAGGAAGAATTGGCGAGAAACTAGTTCGCCTTCCTTCTGGAACCCGTGCATTCTGGTCTCTCGCCAAGGCTGTCCAGGGGAATTTCTGTCAGCCATCTCTTCCATCTCTGCACAGAGAGGACGACTCACTGGCCCATACCGCAAAGGAGAAAGCCGATCTTCTAGGCTCTTTCTTTTAGTTAGTATTCGTCGTTCTTTCTATAGGTGACGTTTTCTTCATTTTTTCATATTCTAAATGAAAGTTTTCTGCATTTCACAGGCGCTTCGAAACGGAAAAATCAGCCTCTTGTGATCCATCGTACCATCCATCCATCGTACGTCCCACTCCAGTACAAGATACTATAAAGAAAAAGGTTGCTAAGCTGCATATGGAGGTTGACTTAACGGTAAGGCGCAACAGGTCTCTTGTAGCTGACGGCACTGAATTAGATAAAGCATGTAATTTGCGGCGAGTAATTGACATTTGTGAGAAGAAGCTTAAGCTTAAAGAAAACCAGAGAATGTACTCTATGACGCACAGAAAAAATAAAAAACAAAAAATAATTGAATTATGTTCAAAGAATCCCGATGCAACTAAGTCGTTGACGCCTCGTGCTGGCCCTGGACGCCCACGTTTAGAAGAAGAACAGTCTGAATTGCTAAAAATAATAATTGATTTAGCCCTGTTTGGTGCTTCTGCTGAAAAGCGCCGTCGTTGTGAGCTAGTTCGCATGGTCCATACGCTTTCAGAACTTACAAATAAACTAAGCGAGATGGGATTTAATATTTCACGAAGTGCTGCTTATATTCGACTGTTTCCTAGACGGGCAAATACACGAGAAGCTAAGCGCCATGTAGTGACTGTGCCGGTGAAGCTGAGTCGTCCTGAAGCTGACCAATATAAGGCACACCAAGACCAATACTTTTCTGTGGTCTCCATAAGGTCGCTGGAAACGATAGCCTCAGTACTTGCTTTTGACCCCGTAACTTTTTTATCTCAGGATAACAAAGCCCGCGTTCCCATCGGCCTGACAGCGGCAAACAAGCAGGTGCCATTATTAATGCACGTTGAATATAAAGTGTCGTTACCAGATCACGACTTTGTGATTGCTTCGGGGCACAAATTAATTCCAAGCGTATATGCTTTGTGTGAAGTGAAACCCAATGATATGGGACGACCAGAAGCTGTTTTATATAGTGAACCAACTTACATAGCAATACGAAGTGGCAAGCACTCTTCGTCAACTGCAACTAGTCACGCTCAAGACTTGAACACTCTTTTAACAATTGAGTATTTTTCCAAATTTATAAAGAATATAGACAGCAAATTTAAACCTGTTCTTATAATTTCAAGTGACGGTGGGCCTGACGAGAATCCGCGATATCGCAAATTGATCGCACACGCCATAGAGTATTTTAAACAATATGATTTGGACGCAGTATTTATTTAACTAATGCCCCTGGCAGGAGCGCATTCAACAGAGTAGAGAGACGCATGGCTCCACTTAGTCGAGAACTAACGGGCGTTGTCCTTCCCCATGATTCTTTTGGGACACATCTTGACTCCAGCGGCAGAACATTAGACGAAAGTCTGAAAAAGGATAATTTAAATAAGGCAGGGGATATTTTGGCTGAAATATGGTCTGCAGTGTGCATTGACATACACGAAGTAGTCGCTAAATATATAGACCCGAATAATGACACTTCCGGCCTTCCAGACCTGCCAGCCAAAGAATGGTACACTGAGCACGTTAGGGAGAGCCAATATTTATTCCAGATACATTGCGGTTGGTTCATATCAAATTTTTATGCGTGCCTATTTTATTTTTTTAACGAGCGCGAATGTCAAATAATTTTTGTTAAGAGTTACAAACGGAAATTGTTCTTAATTTTATTTTAGGTTGTGAAATGCGATGACCAGAAGTGCTGCAGCCCACGCCGGAGTGATCTGCATATGATTCTTCACGACCGTTTTCTGCCACCTCCATACCCTATCACTCAGGTTGATGGACATTTGACAATTCCGGACTTTAAAGAGCATGACGGAAAAACATTTGCTCTATTTCTAATACGCCACTGCCTACCGATTCAACCGCTGAATGCCTTCATCAGCACGCTTTATGATCTCTATTGTCCGAGTGTACGTGATGATTTAGAGAAAAATTACTGCAGTACATGCGGTATTTACTTTGCATCTATCACAAGAGCTGCAGAGCACAGGCGAGCAGCCCACAAGCAAGCGCGTATGTTCCGCAAAGTGCGACCCTCACGGATTGTCACAAGACGAGGTAATGAGTTACTGTGCGCAAGCGCCAACGGCTTAGAGTGGCTAGATCAAAATGAAGTTGAAGGAGCAGATAATTTTACTGAAAATCATATGGACATGTTGGTTCCAATAGTCTCTCTAGAGACCGCACATGATTCTCCATGGACTGAGTTTGAGTAGATATTCTTTTTTTTTTTAATCACAGTAGTCACGATTTAAGTATTCTATTGTTAAATTTTTAATACAAAATAATTAAAATTAAAATTTCTTATAACTCTCAGCAATATTGATTTTATCAATATTTTTTTTAGTAATACTAGTCTTAAATAGTCGTAAATAAAAGCACGAAGCATTTTTTTTTCCTTTTACAATAACAATCCAAATGCCTTTATGTAAGAAACCCACATTTTGAAAAATCTCACGTGAGATTGGGAGATGGGGGAAGGGGTTGAATAAAATCTCACGACATCTCACCAGGGGGGTGGGGGGAGGGACAGAAAATCTTCTCACGTAATTTATGGACGCCCCCTTATTGGTTTTTGGTTTGAATTAGTAAAAAACGTTAATGGTGAATGTGATGAAAGTATATATAAATCAAGATTTTTTTATAAATTTCACGCGGTGTAGGCAAAGACTCATCAATTAACTAACTTTTTTTTGTCATTCAATGAAATTCTTCAATATTTTGAAACTTTAATTGCCTTTTTGCGCGTTTTTTAAGAACCAGCCTCAAAATAAAAATGTTAAACTTTTGATTGTGAACTGTTATGATTGTGAACGGTTTTATTTTTGTCAAAAAAGAAGTCCCGCTGGGTTTCTTGCTGGTTCTTTTCAGCACAGAGGTATTTTCCGAACCGATCCGAACACTAAATTAAACACAAGAGTGACTTTCAATAAGTTGTCTTATTTATAAGCTTTATTGAATAAAAGAGTTTTGTTTCTGTTTCTAATAATTGTCGATTATTTCGCGAAATCGAACCAGTTCAATAATAGGTGAAACTGATCTTGCTTCTTCATCTCACGTCCTACAGTGACCTACCAAATGCTGGGCCCCTTTCTATACTACACCTACTTGGGTTCGGGAAGAAATGCGGTGGGCGTTAATCTCGCGTCGCCAACAATAGGTTATCAATTGATTTATACACGTTCACTTCATGTTCATGTTCGTTAACATCCGTTAAGTTGGGGGTATCACTAAGATCACCTCTCATCAGGTCATCGCGCGGTTAGAAGTTAAGCTCAGTACAGACTATGCTATAAGGTGCGTTGGGGTAATAATACCGGATGGATTTTCGACTAGTTGAATGAGTCAGGCAAAAACTCTATTTTCTCGACATTCATATACGTCATATTTCTGGAACATGGCGAAATTCGTAAATTGTTAAACCTAGTTTAGCTATGAGAAGCATTTACTTTTGTAAACTGAACGATTTCTGCTTAAAACGTGTGCGCAGAAAAGTCATAATTTTTTATGTGCAAAAAAAACCTTGTTTTATAAAATGCCGCGCAACATACTTCATGGAGCGACGGGCTGGATCTTGGGGTCGGGCAGAATGAAATGGCGTCGTGTACCATATCGCTAGCATTTAAAAATAAAGCGTAGTTCGCCGGAAATTTGAGTCTTACAGTCTTGCCTGTCACCTGATCTTACCCCAACGCACCTTAATGTTAAAATAAAGTTTGGTAAATCCAAAAGTGCACGCCTCATAAGCGTTTCATTTAATTTTAATGAAAAAAAAATTGTATTCCTGACTTTTACAATATGTATACTATTTACGTGTTTTTAATTTAACACTATTAATTTAACAGGTAGTGTCACCAACAGGAAAAAAATTATGTTTACCATAATAAATTGATTACACAAAGTATAAAATAGATATAGGCTGTATGGTACATTTGTCCTTTGTCTATCAAGAGCTATTAAATGAAAGAATCTTTAAATTAATCACAGAAATCTAATATAAATAGAAGTCGTAAAAGTGCATGACCTTGTCGCCTCACATGTGACTCGTAAGCCACAAGCGCACGAGGAGCGTTTATTTCGGTCACCAGTGTTGTTTCGGATGCAGAGACGTAAAAATGGTGTTTTGAAGCATATCCAACTGCGGAAATTTCTTCCCAACTTGCAAATTTTCAAATAAAGTGATAACATTTCATAAATAAACACTAAGTGTTTTAAATAATATTGTGTTAATGAAATATACTTAAATAAAATTATCCACCTCCATCCAGTACTACGATTGTCTCCGAAATTGTAATTGTTTTCACATTTCAATATCCATTGATTCTTAAGCTAGTTCATGTCTACGAGTACGAGTACGACAGCTAAAATCAGCGATGGATTTATAGTATGGGTAATAAATAAAATTGTTGCGTAGGTACATCAATTTTCTAGAACACGGCCGCAGGAGTCGAACGCGAGTCAGTTAAGTGACACTACTATTTTATATCGACAATTTATTACGTTTAGCTTACCTAGTTTTACCGAAATGGGAATGAAATGTGATTTTTCGTTAAATATTTATTTACACCTTCTCTATATCGTATTCTTTCTAAATATTTTATACCGTTAGCCGTTTATCGGCGATTAACAGATTATGTTTGTTTGTACTTTTAAATTACTTGATAAATTTTTAATCAGTTATATTGTAAAAATAAGTAATTATATTGTAAGGATAGTAGTCTTAATTAGATCTGTAAGAAGCCGGGAAACTGAAAAGTAGCAAACAACAGAAATTCAGTTACAGATCTTTAAAACTAATAAAAAATGATAAATATGTCACCCATACATATATTTATTCATTTGATGTGTGTATAATTTTGTATTCATTTTATTTATACATCTGTTTATTTAATACAATGCTTTTATTACAAGTTTCCAAAAGATCCGGTTATTAAAGATAAATGGATATATTTATTCCTAACGTATTATTATATCCCCTTTTTTCTAATTATAAAACGTCTAAAAGCTAAAGCTACGACTAAAAGCGTCTACTTGTATTACTGAGGCAAGTCCAATTAATTAGTTATATCTTGGTGAGAGACTCCTGGAAGATCAACGACGCTTAATAGAAAGTTATCGAAACGTGCGTTGCGCTGCACTATGCCCCAGTGAGAGCGCAATGTCATTCTCTGTTTTTCGCACTTTTTAATTATTGGACCGAGTGGCTACGCCTCCTGAGATTTTGCGTTTTTATAAAATATTTCTTAACGCAATAGTTTATAGATTAATCTTTGTTGCAAGAATGCTAGAGATATTTGTAGGCGTAATTGTGTATTTATTGTTTGTATATGTGTGATTGATACGACCTGGCGACACGCGTCCCGATATTGAAAGACAGTAGAAGGCATTTCTAGTGCCTTATTATTTAGATTTCTGTGAAATACATGGTCATAAAACTTTATTATCATTTTATTAAAAACTACGTACTAGACTATTGATATAATATAGGGAATTAGTTGATGAAATCCAGAAGCTGATAAAAAAACCCAGTCTCAATACGTCAATTTTTTGGGAGTTATCCGGACGTCCACTTAAAATTTTCAAACCGCTTTTTTTTTTCAAGGTGGCAATATCAAATGAATTTTTAGAAAATAGAAGATGGTATAATTGGAGTGTTTTCTTGATATACGGCTACTCATGTTATCGTATAAGTGCAATATCGTTACGATTGAGGGATATTAAGACCACAAAATTGCTTGTCCTTGTGTCGAGGGTAGAGCACAACCTAATTTAATATTATTAGGTGTGCAGTATAGCAGAAATTGATCTGCATTTGTTTTAACATACACCTCCACATATGTTATACTGTATAATTTTGGATTGATCACTAATGAGAGAATGTGCTATATCATTTGGCAGAATAGTAGGTAGGTATAGAATAGTCTGTACTGAGCTTTAAACGAAAAACTTCTTGGTTACTATTTAATGAAAATAAATATATAAATGTACGAATTCAATTCGACATTATCATTGTCTACATAAATCTCAACGAGGTAAGTCGTCCACAGTTTCAACACTACTTATTTATATATTCACGGGTGCCACCCAATATTTGTAAAGTGCCTTGTGCTTTCTGAGTTTGATAGTGTTACGATCATCTGCTTGTCACTGATACCGCATCCCAGCAGTTGGCGGTAGCTAGAACGAATAGGACACCATTTAATATTTTCAATATGAATAATAAAGTTTAAGAATTAATTTTTACGCGTATTCTGTTGTTGCGCCTATACTTGTTGCTATAATGTGTTCTGTTCATTCATTTATGCCAGGTTTCTATATTTAGGAAACGTGTCGTTCTCTTTTTAGGCCGACCACATACATACGGAATTCCGTATATAATATATATATATATATATATATATATATATATATATATTTTTTATATATTATTATTAAATTGAAAACATTAAATGGTGTCCTATTCGTTCTCACGCGGCTCTACCTAGCTCTCACAACACTACAAAAGCTTGGCTTGCAGAGAATGCCTTTTCGGCATTAAGGGGAAATATAACCTCAAATGGCTTAGCAAGATCCTCCGTTATGCCGAAAGTATTGCAGCATTAATTTTGAAATAAATATATGGTAAAGTTGAGGATTAATGTTAAGGTTTATGTTAGACGAAAACACGATTCCGTAAAATTTTCTCGATAGAAAAAAATCCAAAGCTACCTCCAAACTGAACAATAAACCGCTGTTATTCATAAAATACTTTAAATAAGATCATGAAAATTTGCATACTAACTGAACTAACCATAAAGCAGTGCTTATGTTATTTACTTTTTTTTAAAATATCATTATTTTCACTGTAAAAAGAAATTACCTAAACTATCGGCGCGTAAGCTTTGTTCCTGCGACAGGAACCATTTTTTTATTTGTTGTTTTTTTTTGAGCGTTTTTTTGTTTAATTTTTTTTCTATCGAGAAAATTTTACGGAATCGTGTTTTCGTCTAACATAAACCTTAACATTAATCCTCAACTTTACCATATATTTATTTCAAAATTAATGCTGCAATACTTTCAGCATAACGGAGGATCTTGCTAAGCCATTTGAGGTTATATTTCCCCTTAAGTTCGCCTATGTACCAAATTATTTTGTTTGAGTGCAATAAAGAATTTTCTATCTACCTATCTATCTATATGGATAGAAATTTCTAAAACATGACGGGATTTGTACATTTTCATAAATTACTTGTAGCAAGTTTAAGTTTAAAGTATTGTGTACATTTGAGTAAATGGTATTGTTATATATGTAAAGGTTGTCCAGTTAGGATGCTGAGTTTTTTTTTTCAGTTACGGGTTTTGATGAAATAGATAAAATTAGCTAAACCTGTCCGTTGCACGTCGTCCTATTGCATTTTTGTCCATATCAGCAATGTTTGAAATTGCCATGGTAAAAAATTGACTCTTTTCTTGAGAGATATTACATATCAACATATTTCACTATACCCAAAATGGTTTTCAGAAAAACAAATTTTAACTACACAAAAATGTAATCATAAAAACGTAAAAATTAACCTGTACTGTCTGATACAAGACATTTGTAAGGACCGAGTAAATTATAGAGTCAGGGAAAAAGTTTCTTCGTACTTGTTTTATAAAATTGCAGAAAAATCCCTTAGGTTGCACAGTTTGTATCTGGCTAGTTTTAATATTAGTTCATATAGGATATTAAGAAAAAGAAAAAGAAAAATATAAAACACTTTCCCGCCATTTTTCAATTGTTTTTCTGTCCGCCAAAATGAGTGAATCTTACGAAGAAATTTGATACATTCTGAAGTTTTACCACAAAAATGGTAAAAATACAACTCAAGCCGGGGGACAACATTTACGACGTAACGATTTCTTATATTTACGCTAACACATCACATTTAAATAACACAAGTTTTTACTTTAAATTAAAAAAAAAAAAAAACTTTTTTATTTTTTTTGGTCACGGGGGAGACTGTCTCCTCCTGATTTTGTTAGAGGAATTTTGATAGGCTGTAACGTCAGCACGAATTGGAAGGCCCGACCGGGGAGTGACTACACTGTTACAAACTACCATCGTACAATTGTACCTTAATAATGTTCGAAGAATTTCATCTTAGTCTTCATGGGTGACGACGCATCTACATTTTGGTTCTTAATAGAGGATAGATGTAGATGTCTATAGGCCAAAGGGGGACTTTGTGCTCGTTTCGTTTTATTAATAAAATTACGTAATCGGGCACAGAGATAATTTGATAGTGAGTGCTATGGCATATATATATATATATATATATATATATATATATATATATATATATATATATATATATATTCATATATATATGCCATTGATTCTGCAGTAACCATACAACTCACCAAAGAAATGGTTAATTGCAATTTTGAATGCCTATTATCCACGTGGTCGAAGAAATCTTCTTGTCAGAGTAACGGACTTATGAAGTCCGGACTTATTGCTGTATAAACCTCTCAGAAGTGAGAGAACACCTGGCCCAAAGATGGCACCTATAGAGCCTATAATTTTATTCCACTAATTCTAGAAGTCAAATCCTCAGAGCAGCGTAAGCATTGTCAAAGGATATTGTAAACGCTAATCTGCTAAACAACGAGACGACGAATTACGACAGATTTTCGTGGTAGTAGGTTATGTACAGATGGAGACTTTGCGGACTGATTAAAATGCATTTATTAGATATGTGACAATTATTATTTTTTATTTTTCAGAATCCAAAATGAAACATTCGAAATTACTTATTGTTCTCCTTTTGGTTGGTGCCATTAACGCCAACCCTGTCTCTAAAGAAACTGATGAAGATGAAAAAATTACAATAATCAAAGACTTTTATCTTAAAAAATTTGTAATATACAACGCTAAATATGACGTTGTAAATATTCTTGTACCAACCAACTCCTTGAATTTCGATGATAACGACGATGAAAAAAATATGGAGAACTTTGCTAAGAATATTATATTGTTCTTCGTTGAAGCTGATGTCGACGCAGCTGGTAATAGAGTAGACAAAGGCCTATACGTTTACAAGAATGGAGAGGCTACAAAACTTTTGGAAAATGGACGTGACGCTGCTGCGAGTAGCGATGACAGCACTGATGTGTTCTTTGGAGCAAAAGACGGTATTTACACGTATGATAACAAAGAAAACAAAGCAGTCAAATACGGCTCTGTGACTGATGATATTATTGCAATCGCTAAAGAAAACGCTACTGACGTAATCTATTATCTAAATAAAGATCACGAATTGTATAAAGTCACTGATAACGGCCAAAAGAGTGTTAAAATAGACGACGTAGTAGGAGCTCAAGAAATAGTTTTGGATCCGGCCAACAATTTATATTTTGTTACTGAAGATAAACAAGTGTATGTTGTCAACGAAAACGGTGTGAAGAAAATAACGGGACTGCCGGAACATCCTAAATCTGTTAAATTAATAAAGCCTCCTGTACTAGAAGACGGTGCTGTTTTTCTTTCAGATAATGCATTTTATGCAATTTATTCAAATGGAACAAGCGAGCTTACTGATTTCGAGATAACCTCTGAAGCCAAACCATCTGCTTATGCTATGGAGGCCACCATGGTTCAGTTCTTTGCGTTTCACAAAAAGATTTACAAATACAACTTATTGGAAATTTTTTCTGGCGATGTCTTTGAAATTTTGAATAAATTCCTCGAAGAAAACCAAGAAATAATTATAGAGGCATCACCTGTGAGCAAAACCAGTACCCGTAAGATTAAGAAACATAAACAGATTTAGTTTGTTAGTTTCGGAACTGCAATTTTTTATTACAGACAAATACAATAATTAAAAAAAAAACATAAATGGTTTTATTTTATTGTTTGCTTCTATGTATGGCTATGAATCAAGCTACAGTGTAATTAATGCATTTACATGTCATTTTGACCATAGATTTCTCTCATGGGTTGCTTGTTAACAGTCGGCAAGACCGAGGAATGAAAGAGAGTTGCAGAATACTAATGCAAAATACCAAAATATTGCAGCTGAATTTAGATGGTGAGTAATGGGAACCAGAGACTTGTTACTGATAGAGAATGGGTGCGTTTGGCAGAAAAAAGCGCTAGCAAGCGCTTGTAAGCAAAATGGCGATCGTAAGCGGTAAGCGCTGTCAAATAATAAGTAGCTATTTTCCTCCAGGACACGATGTTAGTTTTAACGGGGGAACATAATCTAATTTAAATATATGTTTGTAAAGTATTCGTACTAAAAACTTACCAATCATGAATTTTTAATAACATGTATATGTTTATTCATGTCATTATATTACTTAAAACTAATATTGCACAAAACAACTTCTAAACTCTACTTCAAAACAAACAAATTAAATAAGCAAAATGGCGGATTGTGTCAGCGCTATTGAAGTAGGAATCGTGTCCTGGCCGAAAACTATTTTAGCGCTTATAAGCGCTTGCTAGCGCTTTTTTCTGCCAAACATAGTTTTTAGGGATGGCAATGCATCTGTATTTTAATTCTTAATCAAGAATAATCTAATCTAATGTAGTATAATCGAAAAATAAAGATGACTATGCCATACAGCATCTACACACAATATGGTTGACTGTATGCTCGTTTCCTTACCTTTATTAAAAGAGCCAGAGTGAAGTAATAAATTTGTGAATAGCTGTGATGGAAATAATGACTTTTGTAATTGTATTAGCAAATTTCAATAGAAATTCTTGATGATTAAACTACAGGCGATGAAGAGTGTGGTAAAGCCATACTGCAGCATATTAGTTGTAGTATGAATGGGTCGGCTCGACTGGGATAGGACCACGCTCTCACAGAATACCAGCGAAAAATAGCAGCTTAAAGCTGTTTTGTTTCTTATGGTGAATATACAGAACAGGAGACCCTTTTTACTGCAAACGGGCATTCCACTAAGAAGGAGTCAAAATGCGTTATCATTCCTGAGTACTAAAAATTCCTCAGGGATGACAACGCATTACTATTACAACTATTATAATTTGAATGAATATTTTAATGATAAATTATAAATCTATTTTAATAATTTTGACAAAGCTCATTATTTGTATTTACTAATTTGACTTTGTTAATGTTTTCATCAAAACTTTTAAACCTTATTTACATAATATAAATTACGAATGATCAATAGTTGACATATAATATTTATTGAAATTTAATCTTAAAATAAATGTGCGTGTATTATTTGGTTTGAAATTTTATAAATTATTCAATAATAATCTATAGATTGTGTATTATAAATATTGTAGTTTATTTAATTCTATAATTTAAGCTCTATTTTAAAATTCAACGCCCGTACAGGATGTCACATGCTCTGTAAATATAATGTACCAACTTTATACCTTGTGACATGCAGTAAAGAATTATGAATACTGAATATCAGTAGTACTATTATCTAATCTGTGATATTAGGTAGGCAGAAAAACACTGGATCTAAATAATTCAGTGGACGCTACCCCTGCGATCCATCGAAGCGCGCGTTTTTGCTATACCTAAGTCCTACGACCGGATAGCGGGTTTGAGTTTGAGAAGCGCGTGAAAAGCCGCTTATTTTATAGCTATTTTTTTAATTGGACGAACCCGTGGCGCAGTGGCTTAGCAATGAGTGGCCGCGCTGGGGGTCGCGGGTTCGAATCCCTCACGGAACAAATATTTGTATGGCCTACAAATAATTGTTCCGGGTCTGGATGTGTCCTTGTGCAATTTATGTTTGTAAACTGCCCCCACGATACAGGCGAAAATCCTAGTCAATGGGTAACTTTTTTTAAATTACATTATTTTAATATGGACCTATTAGATATAATTAATTCCTGTTACATATTCTTTAGCGAATAAAGATTAAAATAATTCGTGTTACATATTCTTTAGCGAATAAAATTTCACGTAAAAATTACTATCTAGTAAATTTCTTTTACAAATAGTTACTATTTTGAAATTAATCACGACATTTTATGCTTAAAATTTTAAAATATTTTCCCCAGATCTCTGATTAGTATTCAAGTGGAACTTACATGCAATGATCCCTTAAATGCTAGTTGCGGTTGTTCATTAATTAGTAAGGTCACCGAGACCAAGTACTTAGGAGTCATAGTCGACCAACATTTGTCATAGCAAAGCCACATTGAATTAACCATGAGTATACTTAGGAAACTTACATGGACATTTAAAACCAACGAAAAATTTACTTTACCGAATACACTGCTTTGGCTTAAATCTATCCTAATATATTGTATTCCTGTATGGGGTGGAGCTACAAAAACTACCTTAGAAGTTGACAGGGTACAGAGAAATTTGCTGACAGAAGATCTTTATGCTATAAGTAATGTACTTACTGTTAGGAATCCGTACATCTTATTTTCTGTTCTAAGACTGCATAAAGGTATAAAGTTTGACCATTGTATTGTAGCCAAAAGAAGGAAAAACGTAGCAGCTGCGGCTCCAGCAGCTAAAACTCTTTTAGCTAGGAGGCAATATATACAACGCCATTGATAAAAACATAAACGCCATTAATAGAACAAATTGCAAATATGTTCTAACCAAATGGCTATTGCATTAGTGCTATGATGATACTGACACGCACGTACGTACGGTTTCAGACGAGGTCGTTGAACTCAGATAAATTTTGTATCGTTCATTTCGAGTTATATCTCAAAAAATCTCTAAAGGAATGTAAATCGATAAGGTATCTACTACTATTTTAGCAGCGCGTTCTACAAAGTAAACCACTCTATACTATAAGAAGTTTGAAGCAGTAGGTCTGGAAGGCAGACTGCTGAAATGGTTTAAAACATATAATATGGTGCATTCTCAAAATGGCTTCGAATCAGATATATAGCTTATAGCTGTGTTCCTCAAAGTTCTCACTTGGGACCGCTGCTCTTCTTTTTTAACGATATACGATTTTATTAACGATATCAACTCTCAATGTATACTGTAGAAAATGTGTGTTCGCTGATCTTCAAATATAATTGATAATTATCAGCACTGTAGGTTATCTATTAGGATTACGCTGAGTCATAAACTTTTCACTGACTCGATACACGCACCACGATTGTAGCCTCTTTGTAGTCATCTTTAATAACTTTTGTGCACAGCCAACGCGAATGTGCCAGTGTTGGTTGGAGTTCTTTTCATGCTGTGCATTCGCATCAAATTGAGATCACTATTTACCATTTTAGTCAAGCGATATTACTCATCAATTTTCATATAACAAAAAACTGTTGTATTTTGTGATGACAGCCCTTAGTAACAGAAGACACGTAGGTACTGAATTGCTTTCTACATAATCTGCTACAAGGAAAACTATAAAGTCTTTATTTCATACTATTAGTACTTACCAATATTTAGTATATACGTAGTATATGGTAGTTGTTCAACCATTAACGGGTTGTGCCACTGCATAACCTTATCAAGCGCATATTGTGTGTGATATTGGGCTTGTTTCCAGTCTTTAACGTGAACAATTAGAGTTATATTGTCGGCATATGAAATGATTATGTAATTAGGTAACGTAATTTGCATATAATATTCACATAAATGAGAAAGAGAGTTGGACCCAGTACACAATCTTAAGGTACACCAAACGAGGTAGTAACCGGTAAACTATCCGATTTTTACTAACTGCGTGCCATTAGATAAATACGAATTACTTATACAACACGTAACATAATTAACACACTTTGAGAAAGTAGTTTGTTCAGAATCGTTTACTGAATCGATTCCTATCATTTTTAATATAGGTAATTTTTTATCCCAAAAATAATTAAAACTACGTAAATTACAGTCACACTAAATCTGTACAGTCAAAACAAACTGATATGGACCGTAACTTAAGGCAATAAGGCTTTTAGGAGTGCAGTTTTATTTGTATTATTACTAATTCTGTCATTCAATAAAAATAAAGAAAAATGAACTTTATTTCAAGCACGTTAAAGTCTTTGCGTTCGTGGATTTGTACTGTGACCACAATATTCTTCCGGAATTAGTATAACTAATTTGATAAATAATCAGTGCATAAAAATGTTTAACTAAAAATTCAGTGTATGTATTATGATTATAACCTAATATACTAATTGGGGTGTCTGAGGGAGTGCGTTAATTACGTTACATATTGTATATAGTACAATCCCTCGTATACCAACCGATTCCATGTTATAAATAAGTATAGGAATAGAGAATGTCGAAGGCCTTCGTAAATCAAGAAAAACAGCTATAACTTTCGACTTATTATAAAGATGTTTTGCAATCGTCTTAGTTAGAACTAAAGTTGCATCTTCAGTACACTTACCATTTATAAAGCTAAATTAGTTTTCCGAAATAATATTATTACGATGAAAAAAATTGATGAGTCTGAAATTTAGAACATTTTCAAGTATTTTAGAAATTACACTTAGTGCAGACAGGCCTCTGTCACTCTTGCTACTTAATAATTACCTAAAATCGCGACGCGCCCGAGCGAAATAACGCAGTCAGGGCTGGCGTAATGTAGGCGATTCAATGTTAAAGTTTTTTAACACTGTTTCCGTAAATAGCTTTAATGTAAATACTTGTTGAAATAGTTTTTGTTTAGTGTTTAGTATATTTAATTGTAGGTAAAAATAGTTGTAAAAGTTTTAATGTATTTTAAAAATGATATATTATGTATATTACCTATTTGATAAATTATAATAGCAAAACGTCATTCCTACTTATAACTGTTGCGTGGATGGATACTAAATGAAATGACCAACAAAATATTTCATATCATTCTTTATGTT